AGTTTGTGTTCAGCCCTAGAAAACCCCCGAGACTCCCTGGGGTGGCGTGAGGTGTCATGCTGGTGTGTGAGTGATGAAGAGAATACCAGTGGCCCTGGTAATGGAGGAACCCGCGGGTCCTCCATCCTTTCTCAGGGTAGGACTGAAGATTTGGCCCCTGCCCTCTGCAGGGTGTAGCCACAGAGCTCTGCTCGTGGGAGGGCAGCTTGCTTGGCTGGAGGGGGGGAGCACTGGATGCAGACACACGGGTAACTGTGACTGACAAGGCAAGGAAGCCCCCCAGCATAAATATAGGGAGCTGGGAGAAGAGCAGTCTGCTGAAGGGGCATGGAGCTGGCCAGGAGCTGGGCCACCGGGTTGAGGAGCCATGCAGTGGGGAGCTGTGAGCACCTTTGCCTTGCTGGAACACAGGAGGAGGCAAGTGACCACGGCCAGGAGGTAGAACTGGGTGGTGGACAGCTTTTGGAACTTTTGGAGCAAGCCTGAGTGACATGAGAGCAAGTATCCTGAAGGTCAGAAGAGTAGGTATCCCTTTTTGCAGGGGAGGTCTGCAAAACCTGGGCGGGAAAGCCCAGCAGTGCGCTCTGGATGGCAGCTGGGTGCTCTCTCCCTGATGGCTGCGCTGCTGTGCTGGTCTCCTGCTCACCGTCCATGTGGGCTAGCCTACAGCCACACAGCTTCCAGCTCTTGAATTTAGCGTGCGGAATGCAGTGCATGGCTGTTTGGAAAGTGCTGGGCACAGTGGCGAGACATGGGCTGGACCTGTGGGGCTGCAGGTGCAGGGAAGAGTTGGAAGTGGGCAACCTTCGCATCTCCAGGACCAGCTGCACTGTGCTGCCCACCTTGCTGTGCTGGGTGGTGAAGGCCAAGGGCTTGGAGGAACTGCACTGTGCCCAGTCCCGCTCTCCGGCTGTATTTACATCCTGGCATCCTCCAGATGGGTCTGCGATCTGACCTATTTTCCTTTAGCACGCACTTGGGCTAATTAGCAGCTTGGGGGCCCCTGATAGTGTTAGGAGAGTCTGGCTGTCATGGCAACGGGAGTCTTACCTGAGGCTAGAGGCCAAGGTGGACCCTGCAAATTTGTGTTTCAAACCACGAGTGTTTCTTTCTTGTGTCTCAGTCCCTTGCAGTCCTTCCAGGCTCATCTCGTGGGTACAGGAGATTGCCAGGCTTGCTGCTGTGTCTGGTGTGTGCCAGTAAGTAGCAGAGCAGACAGGCCAGGCACAGAGAAGGTGTCATAATAGACCTTGAACAACTAATTGCTGCAGAAATGAGGGAGGCGTCCCTTAGTTTATCTAGCTGTCTCAGGACACAACAGGACAGTTGTCATGGAACCCTGTGTGGCCTTGGTCTACCCTCAGGGCCCTAGACCATGTGCACCGTGGCCCCAAGGCTTGCAGAGGGGCTGTTTGGAACGGTCTCATTAGGTCCATGCTTAGAAGTGGTGGGCACTCCTGTTGGATCTGGAGAGGACATGGTCTGCTGGAGAAGCCTTCACAGAGTGACCAGGGTAGAGGCCTTGCTGGATGTGGGGTAGTGAGGAAGGGAGGAGCAGTGGCATGTGAAGGTCAGGGAGAAACAGAGGGCAAAGAGCCACCTGTGTGGATTTTCCAGATAAATAATCTTGTGGGTCTGTGGGGCCAGGACCCTGACTATGGCCTTGGCCCTGGTCAGAACCTGGCCCAAGTGGGGGCTTAATGCATTTGAACAAGGGGGTGAGTTTTGGAATGCTAATTGCTTCCTATTGTACAAATCGCTGATTTAACCCTTATGGAATGAATTTGGGGATGAGGTTGGGGGGGGGGGGCACCCTGCAAACACACACAGCAAAACAGGCTGGTGGTAAAAGCATTTGTTGTGGGAAGTGTATAGCCCAGGGCAGGGCGGCTGTGTCTCTGCAGGGCCCCCAGATGCCTGACTTGCTACTGTTTGGCATTTCCTTAGTCTGATTCAATTGTTTTTCTGTCTTTTGCTATTTTGTTAGCTGTTCTTCTTGCTACTGTGATGTATCCTAAGCAGTGTGTCTTAGTTTGGGCTGCTGTAACAAAATTGCTGTAGCCTGGCTGTCTAAAACAGCTGTTCCTATGGTTCAGGAAATTGGAAGTCCAAGGTCAAGATGCCAGCCCAGTCAGGTTCTTGGGGGCTGCCCTCCTCCTGGTTTGCAAGTGGCCACCTTTTTTCTATGTTTTTATCAGGTTGGGGTGGGGTCCCCTGACTCTCTTTTTATAAGAGCATTAATCCCATTATGAGGGGACCCCATCTAACCCCAGTCTCCTCCCAGATTCTTCCTCCAGTACATCCCCTGGGGGATCAGGGCTTCAACAGATAAGTGGGGTGGGGGCACAAACATTCAAGTAATGGTACAACCTTTACCCTCCCTGTTTTCTTCAGCTTTGTATTTTCTGTAGGCTAAATTACTAAATAGCCAAGTTTGTTCTAAATTGTGGGTAAAAGGCAGCCATAGTGGAGTATGTCTATAATTCCCCAGACTCCAGAGGCTGAGGCAGGAGGATCACAAGTTTAAGGCCAGCTTCAGCAATTTAGCTAGGCAATTTAGTGAGGCCCTGTCTCAAAATAAAAAGCACAGGGGATGTGACTCAGGGGTTAGGCACCCCTGGGTTTAATCTCCAGCACCAAAAAAAAAAAAAAAAAGTAATTTAAGCACCAAAAAGTCTAATGGAGGGTCTGAGAGGTTTTGTAAGAAAGTCACACAGACTTGTGACACATGGGTCTGGGTTGCATGGACCTCAGAGGTGCCCCCATTCTATTTGTTTTAGCCCTGGTTCTTGGCCATGTTTTCAACATCAGTGATCCACTAAGTAATATGTTGCTATGTCGTATCTTTTTGATTGTTGGGATTATAATTGTTTTGTTGTTGCTGGATTCTAAGTAAAAGCACTGTGACTTATTTCCTTTATACTATCTTTATATTATTATACTTAGGGAATACAATTTTATTACAAAAAAGGGTCCTGGTCCTGGGCTTTCATAGATGGTGTTTAATTTTCCCAAAACCTTTGCAAAGTGGTTGCTCTTTCTCCTTGGCCAGCTGAGGAGGTGGAGACTCAGTACGGTTAAGCAGTTGGCTTGAGACCACACAGCTCATGAGGGGGAAGTCAGGATTTGAATTCTGGTCTCCTTTCAAAGTCCTCTCGTTATTGCTGCAAAACCTCTACCTACTAAGGGTAGGGACACTTTGACTGCTCTGTCATTTTGCACGTTATGCAAAATACAAAATGAAAGTTATTTGACAGGTTCTAGTTGGGTTTCCTCATTTCCCCCCATGCATTTCCCCAGTACCAACTTGGCCGAAGGCCTTTCCCTAGGTGCCCAGGAAAAGGGTCCCTTTCTTCAAAATATTTAAAAAAAATTTTTTTTAGTTGTTGCTGGACTTTATTTTATTTATTTATAAGTGGTGCTGATTATAAGTGGTGCTGAGAATCAAACCCAGTGCCTCACACATGCCAGTCAAGTCACTACCTCTGAGCCATAGCCCCAGCCCTCCTCAAAATATTAACAGTCTAGATTGTTGTTTATGAGCTTTTCGGTTCCTCATGGTAAGGTTCTTTGGACCCCCAACTACAGCTGGAGCCCAAGAGATCTGTTTACTAATAGAGAAGCAAACCCTCCAGTGCTAAGGATCTTGATTGGATAAACCAGGTTACAGGATCCTTGCCACCAAATGATACCTAGTGTTGACAGTGAGTGACAGCTTCCCGGAGGTGCTTTCCAGAGCAGGCCTCATCAGGCCACCCTCTGACAGTTACCTTCCCTTGGAGATTGACAGAATCATTAGTTATTTTCATGTAAATGCAGAAGTGAACCTTCTCAATGTTTCCTGGGAATTTCATGGTGTTGAGGCTTGGGAAGCAGTTTTGATGGTCTAGTGTTTAGTTTGACATGGATACGAAATGCCAGATGCAGCAAGTCTGCTCACCAGGAAGCTCTCCAGCCATCCTAACACCTTGCGTGGCAATCTTAAACGTGCCCATTCAGACATCCTTGGCCACAGTTTTAGAAAGTATTCAATCAATATACTGGGGGAAAGTTTTTGAATGCTTTGGACATTTTTAGCTTAATTTTTATTTTTCTTTTGGTCACAATTTAGATACAATTTAGGCTGACTGCCCTGTGGGTTAAGAAATCATGGGGAAATGTAGAAGAGCCTTCAACTTCCCCATGGGTGATTCCACTTAAGTTCAGTTGTGAGTCTAGAGCTCAGAAGGTGGTTGCTTTGCATGCAAAGTACAAGGGGACAATCTGATTCCAGGGTTACCCCTAAGCCTACTGCACTTGTGAGGAGATGGAGTCCTTGTCTGATAGCCTCCACCATGAAGGCCTCAGAGCTCACACCTGCAAGTTTCAGAACCAGGAGCCAAGATCTGGCTGCTTCCCAGCAGGAGAATGGGGTTGCACACTGGATGTCAAAGATATTGCCATTGTAGGTCAAGCTACAGAGCTATGTCTTCCCCAGTACTCTTGTTGCATATGGGGCCTGACTCCCGCCCCTCAGTGCAGCTTACCTGGCCTGTTTGTGTAGGGTGAGCTTTTGCACAGGGTTGTCTTTGTGGAAAACTCATCTAGTGGCCAAAGATGGGGTTGCAGACCTAGCCCTGAGCTGGCCCTGAGCCTGTTACTCTCAGGCTTGTCTCAACCCCTGCAGAAAACTTAACAGAACAAAGGTGGTATCCTTGGAGGCAGTAAGGGGGGATCAGGCCCGGAGGCTCCCACTGGGACAGGGCTTAGCCCCTCCAAAACCCTGAAGGAGGAAGAGGTGGGCAGTTCTCAATTCCCACTGCCGCCTGTTTACCTGTTCCTACAGCTGTGCCCCTACCTCTGGGGCGGGAGAGACCATTTCCTTTTTCCTGGAGGGATGAGCCCCTGCACGGAGACCTTCCACACTCTTGTGGTCAGTGGTTGGGGACCACCACACTCCTCCCTCCTGGGGCCCCTGGCTCCCCACCCCGCAGTATATTTACATCTCAAAGCCACACAATGCGGGCAGCCTGGGAGAGGCTGGAGAGGCTGGGGCTTGACGTGGGCGCAGAGGGAGGGTCCTCGCCTTCTCCCCCGCCCCATTTCCGGAGCCAGCCAGCGCTGGAGCTTTGTAAAGATGCTGGCGTTGGGCCGCTTGGTGGTGATGACATCATCGTCACACAGGAGCTGGGCTGCCGGGGGCTTTAAGAGGGGAAGATCTATTCGGACCACCCCTGCGCTCACGCTTACACTAGCGCGCTCCGGGCAGAGCCGTGCGCGCCGGCTCTTCTGCGCGCACACCTAGGCGCGCTCCAGCCGTACTCGCGCACACACTGCCTTGGCGCTCGCCCCCAGGGCCCCGGCTCCGGCCGCGAGCCGCAGCTCTCTGCCATCTCTACTACGGATGCCAGCGGCTGCTGCCATCTGCAGTGCAGCAGCCCCGGCCACCGGCCGGCCCGCCCCGGGCCCCCGGCTGGAGGAACCGCGCCAGGACGCTGGCCCTGCTCGCGGCTAGCCTGCACGCCAGGGCGCAGCGAGGATGGGAGGGTCGCAGTCCCTGCAGCTAGCCCCAGCCAGCGACCTGAACCAGGAGGTTTCCGAGGCCATGTAAGTGCTGCGTCCAGCTGCCCAGAGCCCCCCAGAGGGAGGAGAGGCTGCCCCGCTTTGTTAGTGTGCCTCTCCTAGCCCGTGCAGCCTGGAGCCGCGGCTGGCCTGGGGTTCTCGGCAGCCTTGTAAGGCTTTACCTGGTGGCTGCGGCTTGTAGCATTTCATGCCCGGTCAGTTATGAGCATCTGGCAGCCCCAAGATACTACTGGGAGCAGAAACGACCCTTTGGAATTCGGTTTTGATTGTTCAGCAGCAGGGTGCATGGTTGGGGGCTTCTTGCTCTATCAGCATCTTTTCCTCTGCACCCCCCACACAGTGGTATTTCCTGCATGGGAACAACCAGAGTGTGGGAAGGCCTTCTCTTAAGGAAGAGCCCTCGATGGTGGCAGCCCCGAGCCGGTGGAGACACACTGGCACACCGGGCAGCCCCTCACTTGGCTGGCCGATGGCTATAGCTCGCTGGTGGACAGTAGTGCAGGTAGCCTAAGGATCGCCCATGTACTCTGGTGAACACTGGAAGACAAGGCCGCTGCTATTATTAGTAAAGACAGCGAACAGCCTTGTCATTGGTTGAGGCAGTACTTGACTGTGCATCGATCCAGGAATCCGATCTTTTCTGTAAACCACAGAGCTAATGTGCCCAGAAGTGGCCTCTTTCCTTGATGAGTGTTTATTAGAATTGCCCTTCTGTTATGGTCCTCTCTGTCGCCTACCCAGGCGTGTTTGGAGGATGGGGCTTATTGACTAGGTCTGCCTGCTGGGTCGCATTTCAGCAAGTCAGGCTGGCGTCCAAAGTGGGCCTCCGAGTCCACTCTGAGGACTGCTTTCCTTTCCCAAAGAAAGGTCTGTTTCAGAGAAGAAGATTTCTGGAGACTTGGGTGGGGGTGGCAAAGCAGTGGGTTCTTGGGAGCCCTCAATGTGGAGATTTAGAGATAGCAGGGAGTGGTCTGTGTGTTGTAGTAGGGATGGGGCCCCATACGGGGGTGGGGGCTTCCTCCCCAGCCCCAGCAAGGACTTGAGAGAAACTGGCCCCGTGTGGTGATGTCATGCTGGGCTGAGCCTCTCGGTTTTGCAGGCTCCAGTTCTGGGGCAGGTGTGCACCCATCATTTGTCTTCCTTCCTGTAACTTGAGACGGCATCATCTGACAATGGAGGCGCTTGGTGTGGAGGATTGTTTTTGTTTTATGCTGGGAACCTTGCTCTGTGCTGCCCAGGTTCTCATTCTGGTGCAGTATTGTTTGCTTGGAAACGCACGCTGTCGAGCATGAGGAAAAGAACAATTCGAGCCTATTTATTAGGAGTCTCTGAAGTAGGAATGAGCTAGTCCAGGATGGGCACCAGCTGGCCGGCTGTTACAGCTCATACCTACCAAAGTGCTTCAGAGACTCGGGAAGGATAATGTGACCCTGTGTTTGGGAAAATGTGCTCCTCAGCCACTGGAAATTCAGCTCGCCAGTCTCTGACATCCCCGCCCTCTTTCCCAGTTGAATTAATAAATGACCTGTGTTCTGTTGGCTGAAGGCTGAGTCTGGAAAGATTCTGTTAGGTCGCCTTTCTGGATAAGGTCCTCTAAGGCTCTGCACTGTGGGGATAGGGGGTTTTAAGTAAAACTTCAGGCTGAATGGCCACATTGTAACAGAAACTGCTTATCAAATATTTTTGTGGTCAAGTTGGTCTATATGTATCTGCCGGAGGCTTCTCTCCCCGGAGCTGATGCTTCTGAAATTTCTCTGAATACGATTTGAAGATAGTGTATTTACTCTTTCGCCAAATCCCACGCTCTGTCCCCTAACATTTTTTGTTCTAAAAAACGAAAGAGGAAATGTTTGGGGACAATGCCATTCCTAGCACCTGTCCTTCTTCAAAACCCATCTCTGCTGTACGTGTAGCTGGGGCTTACCTTTCTACTCCAGATGCACCCACTGCAATCTAGAGAGCTCTAAAAAAAATGTATTGAGTGCACCTCTTTCCTACCCAGGCACAAGTCTTTCGTGATCCTATGTATTTCCCTGCCCCTAAAAATGCATGCACATGAATAATACACGAGACAGCACCATGGGTCCGCACAGAAAAGAGCTTCTGTTGTAAGATGCTGCTATTGGGGGTGCAGGAATGAGACAACCTGGGGTGCTCACCTGCCGCCAGCTGCAGCCTGTGACAACTGGAATCGGTTTTTTTTTCCCCCCTCCAATGATAGGTGGGTCTGCAGAGGGCCAAGTATAAGAGTGAAGCCAAGAGAGGATTTGGAAGTGACTGAAGCATCCCCCCACCCCCCAGGAATTCTTTCTTTCAGATTGCAGGTTTGGGTGCCATTGGGCAGCTTTTGTAGCCCTAGCTGACAGAATTGTCCTGTACAGGAGAGCGGGGGCATGGGGAAGGAGGAGGCTGGCGGGGCAGGAGGGCCTGTGGGATTGGAGAATGGAGCAGCAGGTGAAGGCTCAAGGTGGCTGGTCCCTTGCTCCGCCCTGTGTGGCCCACAAACTTGCAGCATCGGCATCCCAGGGCCTGTTAGAACTGCAGCGCCTCAGGCCCTGCCCCAGGCGGCTGAATCAGAACTTCCCTTTTCACCCCAAGTTTGTAAGGATGCCAGGTGATTTGGGGCAGGTCGGAGTTGGAGAAGCCTGGAGCTAGGTACAGCTCCTCTCCTTCCAAGTCCTCCAGCCACCCATGGCCACCGCTGCTGCTCCTTTCCTTACTGGGAAAGACCTTCTGAAGGCAACAGTGGCCATGTCCATGGAGAAATTGGGTAACAAGGAGAGGGAGACTCCACATGGAAACTGTTCTCAGCACCCTGGCTGGGGGGCGGGCATTGGGAGTGGTCTTTCTCTAGTGATGAGCGACTCTATCCCGCCTTCCTCCTGCCCGTGGGACTTGGTTTCTGCTAAGTGAGGCAGCATTAAGTACTTTGTCCTTCGGGTAGTTGGCGACTCCATCCCAGGGTCTCTCCCAGCTTCCTCCAGGCCCCAGCATCTCAGCCACGGAGAGCCATTACCATCTGAGAGCCAAAGAGCCAATTCTGCCAGGAGCTCTGCCTTCTGGGCTTGTGCACCACTCAGGCCTTAGTCCCCAGGAGCAAACTGCAAATGTGGGTCCCGGGAGGATCCAGTGGCCACGCCAGGAGGCGAGTGAGAGAGGAGGAAGCTGAATGCCGTGGAGACTGCGGAGCTGGCGAGGGAAGGAAGGGTGCAGGTGTTACTTCCCCAGTGCTGAAGTGGGACACCAGAGAGGCACACGAGGCCAGTGTGGAGTGAAAAGTAGAGGCTTATTAAGGACAGCAGAAAGGACTTCTCCCCGGAGGAAGAAGAGGACCCAGGAGGTGGAATCCGTGGAAGGGCCATGTCTTCCCCTTTTTATAGCTTCTTTTTCTTCCCTTTTTCATAGCTTCTTTCAGCTTTCCCCCATTTCTGCCCTTTGTTCTGTCGTCTTGCAGTGATGGAATGTAGGGGGGAGACCCAAAAGGTAAGGGGCAGATGGGCCTGAGGAGTCATCTGGGCAGGAAGGGCCTGGGGTGCTTCTGATGTGCACCCACCCTGTTTGCTGGGAGCTGCTCCATTAACATTTCTTTAGAAAGGGCTCTGGGCCTTGGGGACATTAACATCTCAATTTCCCCCAGTGCTGCTCTGCCTTCCCAGGCTCCATTATCAACATGGCCTTCATTTTACTCCATATTAGACCCATTTACCTAACTACACTCACTACCTGTCTTTTTTTTTTTTTTTTTTTTTAATTTTTTTATTGTTGGTTGTTCAAAACATTACATAGTTCTTGATATATCATATTTCACACTTTGATTCAAGTGGGTTATGAACTCCCATTCACTGCCTGTCTTTAAACCTGGCTTCACAGGTAGTGGCAGATCCAAAGCCAAGGTTACGGCCTGGTGACTAAGGACCTAGTCAGTGCATGAAAACTGGGGCTGGGGGGGGGGCAAGCTGATAAACTTGGACTGGGGTGTGAAAAGTGGGTTGGATCAGAGCTAAGAACAGAGAAAGCTCTTAGGCACCACCTCCCCAGGCAGAAGGGCTTGGAGCTCTGCGTCTCCGATGTGGTTGCAGACCAGAGGCAGGTTTCTGATCTCTTCCATCATTTGTGTGGCTCTTGACCTTTTTTGGGTCTCAGTCTGGGAGCTGTTGAGAGGGTCCATGGGAATGATCTTGCCCACCTGCCTTATGGGCTTTCTCAGAAGCAAGACACTGGGTCTGTAAAGATTTGAGATGAGGAAAATGCCTGATGACTGCAAAAGCAGAGGAGATACCCATCCCTGAAAATCTCCAGCCTCACAGCCTCAGGAGGCCAGAAAGGCTGCTGGTGCTCCATCAGGAATCTTTCATCAGCTCTCACTGGATCTGTTTCAAAGCCTTGTTTCTTGAGGCAGCTATTGGCTAAGTCATTTCAAACAAGTGACAGCGTTCCAAAAGTGGACTGCAGCCAGTTTCTGAGTTCCCGGAAGCAGATTTCACTTTGGATATTATATTATTGTTGAAACAATTAGTAGTCCCCTCCCCCTGCCAAACTGAATAAGCTGCAACCTTATCTGTTGAATGGGGGCTGGGGACTGGAGCCCAGCAGCTCCCCAGGGCTGCCTCTCCCTCCCCCACACCCAGCACCAGTCCTAGATCTCTGGTCTGGCCCTGTGGCTGAATGCCCGGGACTCTGTGGATTCTGCCCTTCCCCACCACCTCTGTGGGCCTTTCCTGAGGCTCCCTATAGAGGGCTGAAGCAGATTCTGAGGCCTTCTGGGTAGCTCCTGCAAGTCCAGGGGATCCTGCCACCCCTTCTGCTGGGCCTGGGCCGGCAGCTAGAAACCTGGTGTCGTGGAGTGTGATTCTGCAGAAGGGCATTGCGGCCAGATCAGGGGAGTCTGGATCACTCCCTGCCATTGACCCTCTGGTCCATGTCCAGGTGTTTCTTTCCACAGTCTCCAGCCTGTTTCTGTGGCTAGATTGTTGGTTGCCTAGGAAACAACTGTAGTCTGGTAGACGATTGGCTGCTCTTGCCAG